CCGCGAGATATGACTAAAGTGGAAAGCACGGATCTATTCGTTGTCGGGGCATTTCTCGCTTATCGGCTACCCTTTACGAGTCATCGATAAAGTTTCTCGCGTGACTTATTAACCTTCTGCTTACGGATCGGACGCGGGACTTCCGACTAACGGTGAACACACTCATGAATATTCCGCGGTATCGTATTCTGTATTAACCGCGTTAGAGATTTATGGCCGTAACGCACGACACCGCAAACTATAACGTTACGACATTGCGCGGATGAGGCGAGCCGCAAAATATTTATCTCCCTCGCGTCGTCGCATCGGTCATCGATCTCCTGCAACCTCAGATCGCAGATACATTTTTTCCTCCGTAACAATTTTGTTTCCTCTACACTGCTAGATACAATCGAGAAATCAGATCGGTTAGAATAATCTCAGGACTGAGTTCTGCGAATCGCAAGAAACGCGCGCTACGTAATGCCAACATCTACGGCAATGTCGGCGCTCCCGAGTCCGTCAGCGAGATCGCGAGCGCCGGTCATGCAATCATTTTTCTGCAATTTCCTCGTGAGTCAATCGTTTCTTGCTTTGTGCATAATGTATAATGGCGCTTCTCCGCTCCTAGAAATTCCTCTCACTGTGAATCGGTCAACAATGGGGTTCAGCTCACGTCGCCGGCCTCGAAGGCGAGCGAATCTCGAGGAAGGAGCGCGCCCCGAGAGGGCTGCAAATACGCGCGTGACAACGAGAGAGAGCGAGCTAATATAAAGAACTCGTGGACGAGAGCAGGCGTCGACGTGCACGCACCAGAATAGAAAAAGGGGCCGTGCTCAAGAGTCGTCTGTTGTGCGAGTATGAGTCGAGTGTTTGCTCGCCAACGAAATCGCTTTATTGAAACGCGAGGCAAGGGTCGCGGAGATTTACTCGACAAGACCTCGGCGGATCTCCGAAACTGTAGCGAGGCGAAAATTGGAGCACGCGCGTGTATGATTTCCAACACACAATTACAGTTTATAAGAGTATATTTTCTCCCGGCGCCACACGCGCTCCAAGCTTGGCCAAATTCGTACCTTCGCGACGCGACGCGACGTAATAAACACGTTACGCGGCCTCGCTCTCGTCGGATAACGAGATCGCATCACGCAGCTTCGCTCGAAAAGGCTCGTCGTCGCTTTCGAAAATTTCTCCCTCACCTCGAGCGCCACAAGCTCGCCGCGTGCGTCGTCCGGGATGCCCCTCCGATCGGAAGGACGTGCGAGCACGGCCGTGACGGCCGAGGCTCACGTAGCGAAACAGAGAACTTTCACGGCCACGGGCCCGACCTGGTCACTCGATACCGCGTGCGTATAGGGTCGGAGGAAAAAAAATGGGACCAAACGACGCGGCAAGGAGGAGCATCTGTGCCGTGAGAGCGGACTTGACGTATAAAAAAGAAACAGGTTATCGAATTCAGCACCGATACCGGCCGCCCGAGCGATATCGCTCCGATGGCTCGGAGGCACACACTCTGGGGAAAAAAACAGACAGTTGGCAACCCATTTTGAGGCCCACAATTAGTAATCGAATTATTTCGATTGTCCGTAACTCTAAATGACGAACGAAAAAAAATGAAGAAACTAGAGTTACGAACATTCCAAATAATTCGATTACTAATTGTGGGCCCCAAAATGGGCTGCTGTCTTTTTTTCCCCGGAGTAATTTCGCTCCCGAGGCCGAGTCTTCGGCGGGACGTGCTCGGCAGCAACGGCATTAGACCGGAATCGCGATCCCGCGCCAAAGTTCGCACGCTCTCGTACACCTCGCGAAAAGTAAGAACACACACGATCCATATCTCGCGATTGATTACGTAAAACGCACATATTCAGCGGCGTGTATCAAGTCCCCCATGCCTGCGTCATGCGATTTAACCGCGCCGCATCGCTCCGTTATTCTAGCTCCGTCCGAGGCCTCGACGATGCTCGGTAAACAAGATCTGTCACGCACGAAGCGCATTCTTTCGTCCCGAGGGAAAGATTTCCGCCGCGGCCTGGAAAAGTCGGCGCGCGCGACTGCACCGGCGATCCCGCGCGGAGATTCTCGCTCGTTTTCCATCGCGATAAGATCGCGATTATCGCGTCGGACTGTAAACGTAAGCGGCGCCGCCGTCGTATATTCGAGAGATAACGCAGCGATATCGCGATACCCAGTTTCCGACTAGACGATTAATCTTTTTTTTCTTTCGCACGAATCGCTCGACCCATTCGGTCGAGCATCCGCACGTTTCTGACGCGCGCACGTGCGTGGTCCACCCCTCGACCCCACAACCCCGTAGCTCGCTGCTGAGAATTTTTGGTCGACGGCATTCTCACCGCGCTAAAAGTACAGATCCTATTCGCAGGCCCCCGCTATCTCCTAATCAATCCGGAGTAAATTTAGCAGAACGCAGATCCAGCGAACCGTCTGACAAATCTCAATATGTTAAGAATATATATCAAGCTTGTGCCCGCGATACATTAAACAAATTAGGAGAAAGTGTTGCGTTCTCGCTGTCTGGAGTCTGGAGTCGCCGCTCTTAATCCGCGGATTATCGCGCCAGCTCATCTCGAGAATAAACTTTTGCGCAATTGTAAATCTCTTACAATCAAAATATTAAGATATCTGGATCTCGCGCGCGCGCGCGTTCATTTGAAATTCTGCGAAGTCGATGGAGGACGAGAAGAGCGTCGTTCCATTATCGGGCTCGTATCGAAGAAGAATCGTCCGCTCGATTTTTCGACCTTCTTCAACGCGGGCTCCAGTCTTGCGCCGTGGTCTTTTCCCCCCTGCCGGGGGGACGGGCTCGTCTCTTTATATTTAGAACATAGACGACGCGCGAGGCGAATGTTAATCTCCGTCGAGTAATCCCGTTGTACCTCGTGTGTGTCGTGTGTGTGCGTATGTGTATGTGTGTGTGTGTGTCTTTCTCCCTCTCCGTCTGTGTGTATATGTACGTCGCGTGAAATCGATCGCATCTAATGGATAATTCATCGTCGCAGATTGGATCGCGAGGCCTCATAATAGATACAATAAAGGTGATACGCTATCAAAGCGCTATCCCGCGCTGACAAACGCGGGAGCACTTTTATAAGAACAAAGTATGTGTTTCGAGCTTTAACAAGGTTATCGTTAAGCGTATATACCTCTATCAGAGATAATTCAAAATGTAATTCACTTTAATTTCTACAAAGCGACCGCTATCATTTATACGGATGCGCGCTTGTCGTACAGAATACAGCGGGCTGTTGTCGCTGTAAATTACACGTGCCTAAATTACACAAGTATTATATTATGCTTACATTGCGAGAGAAGAGAGAAAGAGGAGGGAATCTCTCTCTCTCTTCCGCGGAACGTGCCGATAATAATTGTGGCGACGATCATTGACAATTCACCGAGCACGACTTCGAGAAACGGGGTTTTTCTCGAGGAAACTTTCCGCGTCTTCAGCCTCGGCGAACAATGCGGCGCAGTTTCTCTGCGTTCGCAATGAAAGTCCATTGTCCGTTTTGTCAATGCGAGATACACCGTACGGCGTTGCGATTAGCTCACGTTGCACTCCCCGCTGGTGCGGCTACGCAGTGGCACGTTTATACCTGTTGAAGACCGTGCCAGGGCATTGTGAGGAGAGATTCTCGCAACAGGGGGTTCTCGAAGAAAAGAGGGACGTTCCGCGAAGACGGGTCCGTTTATTGGTCAAAGTGGAGAAGAAAAACCCGGCGGAAACGAACTCAATTTCCGCCTCCGAGACACACATCCCTCTCTCTCTTCTGTCCCTCCGTTCAAACGTAAATTCGAGGAAAAATTGCGTACGACCCGACAATTAAATCTTCCCATGACTCGATAAACTGAAAAAGCCGACTGTGTCTCCGAACACGCAACTGCCGGCGATATTCAGCGCGCCCACACGCGAGGCTGGACGCCGAGCGTGAGAGAACGCTGGACGAGCGCGCGGCTGCCTCGTGAATGCATCTGCATTCGCGTTGAATGAGGTTAACGTTAATGAGGCGCAAACATCTCCAGACGCGACGCGGCCAGGCCTTCCCTTTTATTCCCACCCCGTGGCGCGTAGTCGGCGGCCCTTCGGTAGCCCTCGCGGAGAACCCGCCGCGCCGTCGCCGCCGTGCGTGCACGCGCGTGCATTTTCCCTCCCCTTCGACCGACCGACCGTCCCCCGTCCGGTCGTCTCGCTCGGCCGGCGACGATGCACATGCGTGCTTATTCGCAGAAAAAAAGAAACGAACGCCGCCGTTTCTGCGAAGCTTCGGGAGTGATTCCGGTAGGGAGATACGTCGTCGAACGTATTTCGCGAGCGGCGTGGATAACATTGCGTATCGTTTGTAAATTTCTACACGTGCCCACGTTTGTTTACACGCGTGTATCGAGTGAGTAAAAATCCATCTAGACCGAGCAGAGGTCGCGAGAGCACGACTTGTTTACGTATCCCGGTACCGTCGAGACTTTCGGTGGTGACTTGACAAAAGAAGTCGACCAGAGAAACTGCGTTTTAGCACCGACAACATCCCAGTCATTAGAGTCAAACGAGGGAGAAGCCGCTGACCAAAATCTTGTACACCAATGCCCACTAATACCCAGTGGGCATTACTTAATCTTATTATCTTATTTTATCTTTACAATACCCCCAGCAAGGCCTAATGCCGCAAATCTATACACCACAATGCCCTCAGCGGTTTCGCCCTCGGAATTAAATGTACATACGAAACGAGCGGCGCGAGGTGTCGCGCTCGGACATTTGTCGTGCGTATCGACCCGTCTCGGAGTCGGATAAACCGATTAAAAAATTCACAACGGACCCTGCGCGCAACACGTGCCACCGGAGACGCGCGCGCGATAGCGGGTCCCCGCGTACGTGCGCCGCGAGACAGCCCCGGAGGACTCGATCTTCTCACGGCGACCCGCGAGATCGACCAGACGACGTCGTCCTGGCGGACCGTTACGTCCCCTGGGTCCCCCCCCGCCTACCTAACACCCGCGGTACTTACTCCATAGAGAGACTTGAGCTTCACGTGGTTGAGCGCGGGCACGTCCACCATGGAACACTTGAGCAAGATCGTGGTGGTTTGGCTGGGCATCCTCGCGAACCGCTGCTCTGCACTCGTGTCACGTGGAATGGGCTACTACCGCGCCGACTATCGATCACCGCACTGATAATACGGGAGACGTTCATTGGCACGGACCGGGCGAGAAACACGGCGTCTGAACCACGTCGGTCGCGATACGCGAGCGGAGATGCGAGGAAAGTGCGCACCAGGGCAGTAAAACGAAAGGGCAGTGTCACGGCAGTGGAATTTCCGGAGTCAGCGCAGGACCACCAGCCTCTCGATCTCGCCGCGCCGCGCGCGCGCGCGCGCGTCTTCTCGCTTTTCCTCCGAGTGCGAAGGGCCGAGCAGAAGGCGAGCCACCGCGCGGCGTGCTCGCTCTGCCGCTTGACTGAGTGACTGACTGACTGACTGGTTTTCACTCACTCACAACACGGTACCCCGTGTGCGGGAATCGTGGCCGCCGTCCCATCCCACCCGTGCGCATTTCCTTATCCCCACCGTCCGGCCGTCGCGGCGCCGAGCGCCAATCGCCGCCGTCGAGAGAGCGCACGCACACGCGTGTCCGTGGACCACGCGCGTGGAACAGCTGCTGCACGGCCGTACGTGTGTGCTTACGTGGAGTCTATCGCTTGCGGCTGCGCGCGCGCGTGTGTGCGTGTGCGTGCGTGCGTGCGCGCGCGCGCGAGAGAAAGAGAGAGAGAGAGAGAGAGAAAATTGAATCGATGAATGGAAAAGGGTGTATTTGTCGAGATAATGAGGCCTTCTTTTTTTTTTTCAAGAAACACGTGGGAAACGCTTCGAG